GACGATCTCTCGCATAACATTTGGCCTTCCCTTGCAGACCTGAAGCTGCAAGAGGGCAGGTGATGGCCCATCCTTGCTTAGCATTTACACGCTCAAGGTCTAGGATGATGTCTGTACAAACAAACTTGCATTTCTGATTGTTACCACATTTCACAAATACTCTCGGGAGAATACTGGCAATTGGGAAGGTGTATTTTGTAGGGTCTGAAAGGAAATATAAACTATTTGCCAAAGCAAAATTCCAACTGGGTGGCTCAGGGGGCACCATAAATAAATAGGCATCAATACTCCTGAGTTGGAGACACTGAGATACAATAAGATGTCCCAGGACAGCCAAATGGATAAGAAAATCTGTCCCTACTATGTGCTATGAAGGCAGAAAACAAGCCGTGATTTCCAATACAGATTCTAAATCAAAAGATGACATGCCTTGACTTGCAATTGAATTTTCTCACCTTGGCAACTCCGTGAAGCATGCTTAGTGACAGGCAGCAAGCATGGTGCCTTATTAACGATGGTGAGTGGGTTTTCTAAGCGAAGTCATGGAATAAACAGTTGTGGATGAAGAAACGAAGAAATGACTGAACACATGAATGAATATAATAAAGGCAGGTTTGCTCCAAGGGGAAACTAGTGCTTTTCTCCCACGACATGATGCCTCTTTCTGTTTCCAATGATCCTTACGTGTACACACTACAGTTTCTGCCCCTTCCTGAGGACACCCTGTGACCCTTGGACGAACACTGGGATCTCCGTTTTACAAAGGGAGAGAGGGGAGCTAACAGAGGGGAAGAGGTTTTTTAAAATAATGCATCATTGTCGTCGTTATGATCATCACTGCTATCCTGCAGGTGCCTCTGCCTTTGAGCACCCATTATTCGCTGGGGACAATAAGCCCAAAGACAACTCAAGTGCAGAAGAGACTGGGGGCCTCAGCTGCCTACCCAGGAAAGAGCTCAGGGGCCCAGAAACCAGCACAGCTGAGGACGCACCAAGGGTTCAGTTACTGAACCGAGGACCCTCGCTTAGGGTGACTCTTAGAATGTTCTCAGATCTTCAGTGCTGACCTAGTTTTTGTGGCCTCCTGTTGCTGGGACAGGCTTTCCTACTCCCAATATCCATGACGCTCTATGATGTTTATAAATCCAGTGTCAGTCCCACTGCTTGTAACTTGCTTTTGATATATATTAAAAAAAAGTGTTTCATTAGGGAAGGCTTTGTTTTTTCAAAACTCATTCCTCCCTCACATCTTAATGATTTTTAAGCTCAGACTATTAATCTTCTTACCCGAGCTAAACCTTTCTCCCAATGTGTTCTTTTATAGATATTTCCCAACTCAGAAGCTTACATTCAATGCCTTCCATGGACTTTCTTGGGGACAATAACTAGCTGGAGAGCTTTGTTATCACTCAGAAATGCTGAAGAAAGTGTTCCAAAATTAGATGGGCTGGTGGGCTACGAGCTTTCTGGAGTATCCTTGCCTCTGGAAGTCACTGAATCAAACAATTTAATTCAATACATTTTGGGAAAAGCTTTGAGTTTCTCTCTGCACTGGCCACTGTGTAAGTCCAGGGCTAAGGTGTACTGAGGCCACCACCATGCAGTGAGGATAAGACATGACCGATACAGAAGAATTGCAAATAGATGAGCTCCATGGTAGAAAGTAGTATAAAAGGCTGTGGGGGAAGAAGTTAATTCCATAAGGGGAGATGTTGGGCAAACTTTCAAGAGCTAGTTAAATACTAGCTTGCACCAAGCATGCGTTAGATTAAGAAGGGGAACAACATTCAAGCCCAAGGGAACAGCGGAGCGAAGAGGACAGAGGGGCACAGAACTGTGTTGTGCTGGGAGAACTCTTTTTCTGCTGCCAGTGTTCTGACTTCTTTTGTCCTCTTGGATACGGTATGTTCTTTCTCAGCACCGGGGTTCTGCAACCGCTCTCCCCTCAGCTGGGAACCGTAACCCCAGCCCAGCTCTCTTGGCTGACTCCTTCCCATTCCTTCCTTTCTCAGCTTGAGTGTCACGTTCTCAAGCTGGCCTGTCCTGACACACTAGACTCAGTTCCAATCTTTGATTTACGGCCCCATCACATTTCTGAAATCCTCTTTGTTAACTTCCATTACACTCAACACACTTGCTTATTAACGCCTGTCTTCCTCGATCCAGTGTGCTAAGTTAATTAAACCAGGAGGCCACTAGGCGGAGGGGGCTCTAATCCACGGCAGCCTACGTAAACACACCCAAATCCAAACCTGTAAGTGCCTCAAAGCTAGGAAATCGAAACACGAAGGACAACCCACCATAGACAAGTCGGTTTTCAGCTACAGCCAATCAAATAATGTCTTTCCTTTACTTCCACACTTTATGTAAGTCTTTCCTCCATCTCCGGTTGGCAGAGTGCACCTCACCACTTCCAGTTTGGCACTGCCCAATTCCAATCCATTTTCTCCCAAATAAACTAAAAAATGTTAATATGCCTCAGTTCATCATTTAATAAATGATGAGGGCTGAGACCATGTCTGTCTGGTTCTCCTTGCATTCTCATCATCTTCCTCCAGACCTGATCCCCAGTTACCACCCCGTAATTTGTTTCTTTGTGCCAGGCTGGGCTGGGGCACTTGGTGTGTGGTGGGAACAGGCTAGAGATGAGGACGGCACACTGACAAGGGGAGATGAAACTACAGAGAGGGCTTTGACCGATGTCTTCACTTAAACATGCTCCCAGACACCTTCACTTTGAAAGGGCAAAGTAAGTGTGGAAGAAATCCAAACACATCAGCTTTTCTTCAAGCTCTGAAGGGACTATTTTATAGAAAAGGAAGATACAAGATGAGTAGTTGACAACTACATGTACATACAATGATAATGAGTCTCTAGAAGTTAATCTCATGGGGAATGGTGGTAGGAAATAGTCTCACATATGTGGCAGCCTCTAAATATTCCTAAAAGTATGGAGCAACTTTTCAATGTATATACCTCAAAAGAAGAAAGGAAAAGGTAGGGGAGCAACTAAAGATTTCTTCATATCTATGGTAACTGGAAGTAGACGTGACCAGGTGAATGAAGATACCTGTGTAGTCACATTGGAGGGATGTAGTATCTTGGCTGTTGGTTGGTTGATTCATTCACTTAATGAATGTTCATTGAACATTTGCTCACTCAGTGTTATGTCAATCATTACACTGGACTCAGACCTTGCCCTTGCAGAATTCACCATCCAATAGAGGAGAAAGACATCAAATGAGTAATTAAACAATAGTTCATCCACCACAACGGCAAGGGGTGCTACCAAGGAGAGGCACAGATTTGAGGGCAGGCTTGGCATGACCAACAGAAGGCTTGTGAGCCCCCTTGTGCATCAGGCATTGATGGAGGGAAGGCAGCGTCTGACCATCCTTATGAGGACTCCAGAGTCTGTGGTCTACCACTTCTCTGAGGCCTCTGGATGGATGCCTTCTGTGACACTGGAGTCATCGCGTGATCCTCTCAACCTGAGTGTTCCTCTCCTACCAACCGATACCTACCACTCAGGTGGGTTTGTTTTTTCTTCTCATTGTGTCATGAGTGATTCTTATTAGGAATTTAGTGGGGTTGCTCATTTTCATTCATTAGCTGTGTTTTACTGAATTCTGTGGGGGTAAACTATGTGCTATTGGGGGTATTTACGAACATGAAAATGAATTTTCAAAGGTCTTAGGACATAGCTCTTTAAGTCAACGGCCCACACCATGACCTTCCACCCCTTCTTAGAGAGGAGAAATGGGGCCTCTGTGAGCATGCTTACAAGAGGTCTGGAAAACCCAAGTATGGACCTTTATTTCCAACCCAAGGGACACTGTCCCTTTCCTTTCGTGAGCTGACCCTTAGGCCAAAACC